GCCTCCAACCTAATAGCGATGGCCTTCACCCTAAGAGCGATGGCCTCCAACCTCATAGCGATGGCCTCCACCCTAAGAGCGATGGCCTCCAACCTCATAGCGATGGCCTCCACCCTAGTAGGCAGGGGATAGACATTCTTTATTTTTAGTCAACACGCCATGTTTGGGCGAGTCACCAGCTGCAGTGGGCGGCACCAGGTTGCCTTCAAGAAGCGGGCTCCACGGGCTCTGCGTGTGGTTCGACAGTTTGCCAGCAAGGTGATGATGACCACAGATGCCACGTGGCAGAAGAGTAGGTTTTGGGATGTGCGCTCTGACCCTTGGGGTCTCCTGATTTTCAAGACGAAGTGGGTGGTGTTGCCAATCGGTGTCAAACAGTGAGGCAAGCCTGAAGGATCATGGCTGTGGGAAGCCTATACAAACAAATTATTCCTTTGATGTGTGGTTTGCGCAGGCCCTTGTTCTCCTTTTGTCACATCTTGTCCTGCAGTCTGCGGGTCCTTAAGCTACCCCGATCCTGGGGTGGGTCAACACGTTTTCAGGTTCGCATCGATACCAAGCTGAACAAGTTCCTGTGGAGCAATGGCGTCCGCAACATCCCGCGCCGCGTGCGCGTGCGACTCTCCAGGAAGCGCAATGAGGAGAGGGACTTGACACCGACAGGTCAGAGAGCTTAGAGAAGATGCAGGGTCAAATGGAACAGTTGTTGTAGACAGAAGCAACTTAAATGTCCTCAAGACTCAAGACATCTAATCGTAAGTGTTGGTATTCATGGGGCGAAAATAGCCCAGCAACACATGCACCAGCAATCTCAGTCCAGTCCTCAGAACTCAATCCCAATGAAATCACTCAAAACGAAGCTACCTGGGTACCCTGAACAATCGAGCTTTCATCTACCTGTATTTGTGGTCTTTTGAGGTCTCCTCTCTTTTTGCGACACCCCTTTGCTGTAAGGTTTTTCGGGTCCAGTTGGCATGGAGGGGCCATTCCATTCCAGGTAGTGTCAAGAAGAAGAAACATCGGAATGGTCGCCACACTTGTTTATTGTCACTAGTAGCGATGGCCTCCAACCTAATAGCGATGGCCTCCAACCCAATAGCGATGGCCTCCACCATGTATATAGTGGCTTCTGAAGTCCAAAACTTGGCTCCACTCTTGGCTTCACCCTTTGGCAAGGCAATTTCCCCCTTCCATCCATAGGGTGAAGCAGGACCAACGGAGGGTGTCACCAAGCACTGGACCCGGTCCGGTTCGCTACAGTCACCAGGACGAAGAAGCCAAGGAGAAGCCCCTTGGAAAGCACCCGGAGACTGTCGGGCTTCGGGAGCTCGCCGGGGAGGCGGGGAGGTGAATCGATCGAGTTCCAAACTACGAAGGTGGCCCACTGGTGCTTCAGGCTGTGCAGCAGCTTATTCTTCCCAAAGCAACCTGAAAACTGAAACAAATGTTGACAGTTGGCGACTGAATGATCCTGGAGTTTTTAAACCTTTCCACTGTTGCTGAAGGGCGTGACAACCTTTCCCTGCTGCAGCATTTCTCCCACCGAACGGGCGTGAACGATGCTTTTCACGTGTTGCGCGTCCTTTTCCCCGGCTGTTCAAGCTGAGGATGTTCACCTTGGTGCAGCACGTGCCGGTGGAGAGCTTCAAGGGCCTGCAGACTGAGAACGTGAGGCGGGCAGACCAACAGGTAGACTTGAAGCCTGTGGATTTATCGAACCGACATATGGTAGAAACCCGGCATATCGAGTCCAATGGGTTTCATCCACTCTTCCTTTAGATATTTTTGGCTGCAGAGTCTTCCACTCTTAATACGCCGACAAAAGCAGAGAGTTCTTCGGTGGGGAACTTGTTTTCAGTTTGAGGAAGGTTTGGAGCGGGTCGTGTGTTGCGGCCCCTTTTCTATGGGAATTCCAGGAGTTTCGGCTAGCTTTCAAGCATGTAGAAGATCTATTTACACCCTGCGGGTTGTTCCGCCGGCCTTTTCAGCCAATGGTCCCAAGATGCGGATTACCTTTTGCGTCAAGAGGAAAGACTGCAACAGAGCAGAAAAAGTAACAGCATCATCCAGAACACAGCTGGAGCAACAGAGGAGCCTACATGAAATGACGTGCATTATGATACAATAAGATAACAGGGAGATGAAATTGGGGGATGCAAAGTCTTGCCTGCCAAGCAAGAAGACAAATTATATGACATGTGACACAATGAGCGAAGTAGACCGTGCGAAGCAGCAAACGTACATAGCATTCCGTCAGACATGATACAAGAGAGTAATGAGGACATGTGTGGCACGGGGATTTCTAAGCAGTCTGAGTCTGCAAAAAACGATAAATACGTGAGTGCAGGTGCAAAGCCTGAGAAAACGCATGCAAAGCAGAAGCGCAATGCATGGACAACGACAAGAGAAGAACGACGATAAGAAGGAAGCGCACACAACCTTTCACTTTAGCTATGGTATATGTGAGCTATATATGATGTTCTTGGGGGGGGGGGGGGGGAGGGGGGGGGGGGGGGGGGGGGGGGGTCAAGTTAGACGAGGCAAAAACTTGCTCCAGAGACACTTTTCTTATTACATGTAGATTCAACATAACTTTAGCTACATACAAGCCACATTGATAAAACACGCCGGCGCCCAAGGGCCGGCGGATTTTTCCGGTATGTAGTTGCTGTGTGACCTAGAGGTGCTCTGAGAAAAGTTGCTCCTCATTTGGGCCAACGGCTAACCGTAACCCATTTGATAGACCGCTTCAGCGAGAAGAACTCCCATGCCGAATTGCATCATTTTTCCAGTGTGCCACACGAGCACTCCATAAGGTCAACCGGAATCGACATTGTTTATCCACGTGATGGATGTCTCATTCTTACAATTTTACATGGAGGTCCACTTAGTTAAACGAAAGTAGTTTGCGAGCGGGACATTCGTCTTAAACCGCCCGGGTAGCTAGCAATAGACTAGGAGAAACAGAAGGAAAGGCACCAACACACAAGTGTGTTGAGTGCGATTTCCTTCTGTTGCTCAGTAGCGGGTGGGATAGCAGAGGAGGCCCAGGGGCAGGGAGGGGGTGCACGATTAATTCGTCCGGCCTGTGAATACTGTGACGTGGACTGGTGAATACTTAGCGGCATGTTGCAGTGACAGTGCAAGTGGATCCTGCAGAAAGATTGAGTCCATCGTTTATAGCCCGGCGGCTCGAAACTCCGTTAATTCAGTTATAGAGGTGGAGAAAGTGGAAACAGTTATCAAAAATGGAAACGATGATTGCCCGAATGGCTTCAGCGCCCCAATGAAGGGGGTCACACCCAGCACCCAAGTGGGAAGACTGAGCGGCTCACACTCTGACATTGGTTTTCAGTTAACTCAATTTCCAGGAAAAATGGACGCAAACGGCAAGGCGGCTGGGTCAGTGGAATTGAAGGTGTTTAACAAA